GGCACCTCCATCGTTAACGACCGCAGTGATTTAGGCCGGTCTACATACGGTGAACGCCCTAAATTTTGGCCGCAGTATAAATAGGGTAAAGCATTATACAGCTATAGCAGAATGAAACACATCTTGCTCACAGGTTGAAGTACAATTAGGAAAAGGATTTTCCCACATTTTCACCTCGTCATCACTATATTTTTCAAATCCGTATACTAATAACAAAATCAAAACAAAGTTCAGAAAAAATGAGAATAAGAACAATACCATTTAACAGTTAAAACAGCATAATTATGTCAGTATCGAACTTGAATTTAGTAAGTATGTTGGTGTTATAAGTATGGGAAGTTCTGAATTTTAAGTAACAAATGGCAGTTTAGATCTTTGTGAAAGTTATTTGATTTCATCATTACAGAATTTACCAGAAGAACTTTTCTCCATATATTTATGTACTATAGTACATAAATATATGGAGGAAAGTTCTTCCAGTGCTAGGATGTGAATAACTATCCCTAAAGTTTAATATTTCCTTCGTGACCATGTTCCTAACCTTCTTTTACATGAGGCATGTTGGAGGTGGTATGATTCTACGACACATACTCTGGCAATAATTACTCTCCAGACCATCATTTTATTACACTAACTGATTTCTATAACCTCTGGACCAACCGAGTCCTAACCCTAAGTCCCTTATTGAAAAAATCATTGCATTTTTCCCCTTTTTCTTATGAAGCCACCATAAAGTCAAGCGTCGCTTATAATGGTTGTCCCCTGCACTTTTCCACAGATAGTTAGGATAATACTTTACTCTCATAATAATATATTGTAGAAATATAACTTTACTCTCATAATAATATATTGTAGAAATATCAAGTTCATTATAAAACGTAAAATGTAAATCATATTTTGAATACTTTTATATACCTAACGTGTACATTTTCTTTGTTATTCAGTTATTGTATTTGGAAAAAAGCATAAATAAAATAAAATAAAATAAAATCAAGATATTTTATCGTCAAATTGCTGGTAAATTTGAAGATTTCCCAAAAATATTCTACTCAACCCCAATGCGATATGGCAAAGATCGAGCGAAGGGGATACGAGGTTCATATATGTTCTTGTAGGTAAAACTCAAAAGCGGAAATTGAAAACCGTTCGTATTATATGAATTGAAATCAATCTAAAATATCGTTTAACTTAAAAAACCGCTCGTATTATATGAATCGCAAAACAAATACTGGCAAATTATTATTCAATAAAATCTGAGAATGTATACTGTTATCTAGATCTATTATGAATAAAAAATTTGTCAAAATACTTTCATAAATTGGGGTAAAAAATATATATTCCAACTATATGAGCGACAGTGAATAATATTGGTTCGCCCATAAGCTTCAGAACATTTCTCAATGGTTGTATATTGCTAAATTAATCTTAAATGTAAAGAAAACCAATTATGTAATTTTCCGAACAAAAACATTAGAACTGATGATATTGAAGTAAAAATTAATGTAAATGTTGTACAGTGTTGTAATTCATTGCCATTTTTAGGTATTCAAGTTGATCGTAAGATGTCATTGCACACTCATATTGAAATAATTTGGATTAAACTCTCGAAAGTAGTTGGTATTTTACATAAATTAAAACATCTCTCTGATAAGATTTTTTAATGATATACAATGCATTGTTTTATCACAATTAAATTTTTTAAATAATGTTTTGGCGAATTCAAGTGATTATTGTATGAATAGGTTATATAAATTACAAAAGAAGGCAATACTTCTCTGGATCCCATTATCATGCCAATACAAAACCTATTTTTGTCCGCTTTAAATGCTTTAATATATTTGAATTGAATGATTATAATAATATTGCTAATATTTTTTGTTTTTATGTCATAAAGTTATTATCCCCCCTAGTCTTTCAAACAAAGTTCGTTTGAAATACATTCATATGGAACTAGGCAATCATCACATTTTCATATACCACTAAAAAAAAAAAAAAAAATTCTTTAAAGGACCAATTTTATGGAATGAATTACCTCCTAATATTAAAGCAAGCCTGACTTTATTAAACAGAGATACAATGTATATATATATATATATGCAATCAGGTGTTATATGCTAGGTGTTAGTTGTTAGGTGTAAGGTGTAATAGTTAAAGGTAACATTATTTATTGTGTCGTAAGGGACCAGCACCAAATGGGACTTTAATATTCTTTCTTGCCGGTTTCCTCATTCGTATATATAATTGTATTCTGTATTTATCTTTCGTTATGTTGTTTGTATGTTCTTTACTTATCTGTAAATATCAATGTTATAATTATGTTTGTTTTTATATGACGAATGGAATAAAATGAAATGAAATAAAATGTAATAACACTACATTCATTCAGTACTGCTGTGTGCTTATCAAGATAATGGTGAGAGAATGAAAAGCATGCATACAGGTGAGTAATATTGAATAAAACAAAGTTATATCAAAACTGATGCTCTATCTGAACTTGCTAATACATTTTCGTTTTTCAGGAGGGGGAAAAGAGTCGAACGGGTCTTTACATCATATTTTGATCGTTTCATAACTCATAAATCTCATTTGAGTTAGGTCCACCCTGTTTCAATGATTATTTTATATCGACATGTCTCACTAGCTATGTGGAAAATATCAACTGCTGATTATGCGTATATGATCCTGATATATGACATGTTTGAATGAAGGATCTGAAAACCTTCGAAGTATTGTTTTAACAAATATATATATATATATATATAACATTCTTTCAGTCATTAACTTTCGTTTCACATGCCTTCATTATTAAACCCACTTTCGTTCTAGGGTGTTCCTTCGTACGCAATTTCGTGTATGTACATAATATGTAAATGTAATATGATATATTTGGCAAAGGAGACTTTTAACCCTTTTTTCTTGTTCAAATACAAAACCAAATCTAGATTGTTGGTACCAGCTGAAAATATAAAGTGGTTTGAAGTTTCATTAAAGTCATGGCGATCATAGTACTTCAAGAGTAACCCGAAGTGAAAATCATACTCAATTGCTCGTGATCTGAACTATGGATTTCATATTTCAAGCAACTAATATCATTACACACTAATGACCGACTTAAAGAGGAGTGAAGAATCAAGAAATTTTACAGACCTTCGGGGGGGGGGGGAGTCTCTGAACCCTATATATATTTTTAGACCAACTCCTCAGTATGCACTAATCAAACTTGGCGCCCCTCCTGCACCCACTTTTGGCCAATCCCGGAATTGCTTCAGGGAAGATAGAACAAAAAGTGAAGGGAGAACATTGGGATGGGGGAACCCCCCTCCCTCCTCCTCCCGGTTTGTTGAGCTTTCAATGATCGTCATTGGATATATCCCTATGTCATTGCTATATACAGTGCGTCACAGAAAAAACGGAACCGAGAATTATCACTCTTGAAGTCTAACAATCTCCATGATCGCCATGACTTTAATGAAACTTCAAACCACAATACATTTTCAGCTGGTACCAACAATCTAGATTTGGTTTAATATTCATGAAAAAGGGGTTCAAAGTCACTTGTGCCAAATATATCATATTACATGTACGAAATTGCGTATGATGGAACACTCTGGAACGAAAGTGGATTTAATAATGAAGGCATGTGAAACAAAAGTTAGTTAATGTTATATATATTTTTTAAACAACAATACTTCAAAAGCTATTAGATCATTCATTCAAACATGTCATATATCAGGTAAACATCGATAATTCTCGGTTTCGTTTTTTCTGGGACGCACTGTATAGTGCTTGCTCGTAGGTATGGAATGAAATCCATGAATGTATTGCTGTTTCGGTTAATTACCTTTTGATTTACAACCAGTTCGTCTACTACCTAACTTGTCTATTCCCATATGGTCTAGTTTCCACATAGTCTAATAATTATGTCGTCTAGTTATCACTTGGCTTAAAGACCATTTAGACTAATAGTCATTTGATCTATTTTCCATTTGGTCTAATGTCCAATAAGTCTACTAAACTTTTGGTTTTATTACCCTGCTTTTAGCCAAGCTGCCATACGGCACTAAAAGTATTCAAGGAATAAATTCCTACCAACTACCTAATCTACTGCGCCTGGGTGTATAATAGCAATGTAGATTAATGTCTTGCCGGAGGAGAGTTACGTGCCTCGAACCGCTAGTCATGCGATCCATAGTCCGGTGACATTATCCACTAGACCACGACACCTCTACATGTAGCTGCGTTGTAAATTCATAAACTCATATTGCTGACATGCTAGGCATACCGGGGATGACATCTCATCGAAGATCATCTCATCGAAGACCATCTCGTCCAAGATCATCTCTGCCAAGATCATCTCATCGAAGATCATCTCGGCCAAGATCATCTCGGCCAAGATCATCTCATCGAAGATCATCTCGGTCAAGATCATCTCGGCCAAGATCATCTCATCGAAGATCATCTCATCGAAGATCATCTCGGCCAGGATCATCTCCACCAAGATCATCTCGGCCAAAATCATCTTATCGAAAACCATCTCAGCCAAGATCATCTCGGCCAAGATCATCTCATCGAAGATCGTCTCGGCCAAGATCATCTCATCGAAGATCATCTCAGCCAAGTTCATCTCGGCCAAGAACATCTTATCAAAGACTATCTCAGCCAAGATCATCTCATCGAAGATCATCTCGGCCAAGATCATCTCATCGAAGACCATCTCGGCCAAGATCATCTCATCGAAGATCATCTCGGCCAAGATCAATTCATCGAAGATCATCTCGGCCAACATCATCTCGGCCAACATCATCCTCATCGAAGATCATCTCGGCCAAGATCATCTCATCGAAGATCATCTCGGCCAAGATCATCTCATCGAAGACCATCTCGGCCAAGATTATTTTGGCCAAGATCATCTCATCAAAGATCTTCATTTTTCTATATCGAGAGTATAAAGCTCTGTTTGCCGAATTTTCGCACAACCATCTAGGGCCTTATATCTGTGGATGTGCGTGAGGGGTACGTGGGTGTGTATATACAGTCACTCTCCATGACTCGATATCTAGGAAATACTCCATCAAACAACATAAATGTTTAATGTCTAATAATTTCTTTTTTTTTAGAATCTGACAACGGAACAGAAGTTGGTTTGGTCGGTTATGGTGAATCTTTGACGATCGTTTCAACAAACTATCCAGACAACTATCCAAATAACATCAACACTCAATGGCTTGTTTCTGGACCAGCAGACGACCAGATCATGGCAGTTTTTAGCACTTTTGATCTGGAATACAACCATGACTTCTTGAGGGTTGGTTCTGGTCTTGATCCAGATGATACAGCATCATTATTGGCTACTCTCTCAGGTTCTTCTCTACCTGATATCATAGTCTCTAACAACAATGAGATGTGGCTGGTTTTTACCTCAGACGGTTCAAATACAGAGCTTGGGTTTAGGGTTAACATCGAAGTTTCTATTGCAAGAAACTATACAGGTAATTGATCAACGAAAATTGTGAAACTTCAATTGTTCGAGAAAACCACTTGAATTAGATATTTGCTTATGATGTAATAATTAATTAATTACAATTTCCTTTTACTGATTTACCATTTACTTGCCCATAGCTTTAACCAGAACCTCTCAAGACAGTGCATATTTGTTTATTATATCCTGCATCAAAAATGTTTTAGTTTTTGATTGTTACAAAGTGTGTCACATGATAAAAAATAATCACATTATTTTGTAAATAGTATTTTAACTAAAAGTACTGTTTCCGCTAGTAAAACTTTACACAGTACTCATGTCGCAGTGCGTTAAGTATTAAAGTGACTTTAACTTTGACAAAGGGAGTAATATTTGGGATTACTATTCAAGAGTTTAATTATTTTTTTAAAATGTTGATGCAGAATGTAAAAAAAATAAAACCTTTCTTCTTTTCCAGGTACTGGTCATTACTATGGGCCGAAGTGACTCAAATAATACCATTTGCTTCAGGGCTGCGCACCTCAGCAAAATTAATAGTACTTTTGGAGTCACCTCTTGCTCATAGTTTCAACCAGAACCTCCCAAAACAGTGTTTATTCGTATACTGTTTACCAAACTCAAACCACACGAATCTTCAACATATATTTCTAGATCTTGGCAACGGAACAGAAGTTGTTACCTTTGGTTTTGGCGAGTCTTTGACGATCGTTTCACCAAATTACCCAAACAACTATCCAAATAACGTCAACACTCAATGGCTTGTTTCTGGACCAGCAGACTACCAGATCATGGCAGTTTTTAGCACCTTTGATCTGGAATTCTACTCTGATATCTTGAGGATTGGGTCTGGTCTTGATCCAGATGATACAGCATCATTATTGGCTACTCTCTCAGGTTCTTCTCTACCTGATATCATAGTCTCTAACAACAATGAGATGTGGCTGGTTTTTACCTCAGATGTTTCAGTTACAGAGCCTGGGTTTAGGGTAAACTTCGAAGTTTATACTCCAAGAAACTATATAGGTAATTGATGAACTATCTGTCTCGGCTTTTATTTTCGGTTACAGCGCTGGGGTTTTGGGTTTGACATCAAGGTTTTCACTCAGGCAAAATTTACAGGGGATTGATCAATGAAAATTGTGGAACGTCAATTGTTCGAAAAAACAACTTAATTAAGAAACATGCTTATGAGATGTAATGATTGTAATTAGTGAAAGGAATACTAACAACCAGAATTTTGATGCAATTAAGCCTTCTGGTCAGAATAACATCCAAATCGGTTTCAAATCGTAGACAATCGCACAAGTCTAAACTTACTGCAATTCTGTGTCCTCCTCCAAGGAATCATGAAACGATTTTATATTGAGATTGATATTTCATTAAATAAATATTTGGAACCCTGATCATTACTATTTTATATATGTCTGAATATTCATATCAAATGCTATTGTAAATTCTTCCAAAACCTAAGGTTTTTCACTGTGAAAGATGTTCTTTTTTGAATATTTCCAGTATTTGCCTTTTTTCCTAATATTATCTGGCGGTAATACCGGTAAATTTACCGCCCAACCATTACTTTAATACCCTGTTCTGTGTCTTCTGAATTGTTTAGTTTTTATTGAATGAATAAAGATTCACAATACATTAATATGATTGATACCGATACATGTACCTTGAAACTTTTCCACAGAGTTTTTCTTCGCGGATACCTGTGTTGAGGAGTTCTGCTATGGTGGCGAGGAAACGACTGTATGTAGGTGCGATGACATGTGCCAATTCTTTGGTGATTGCTGTCCAGACTACCCTCTACCAATCTTTAACGAGACTCCATCAAACGAGACTCTACTGAACGAGACAGAATCAAACGAGACTCCATCAAACGAGACTCTATCAGCCGAGACTATATCAAACGAGACTCTATCAAATGAGACTCTATCGAACGAGACTCTATCAAACAAGACTCTATCAAACGAGACCCTACCAAACGAGACTCTATCAAACGAGACTGTATTAGACCTTGACGTATGGGAATGTATCGTTGATTCTTTCCTTCCACTATTCTACCCATTTCTTGGACATGGTTACAGGATGATTGCTAGGTGCCCATCAGGATGGTCTTTAGAGGAGGATGTCAAACGAAATTGTGAAGAGGTTCCTCCCAATGCAACTATAGATGTTCTTTATATCTACAACAACATATACTTTAGAAACCTGGGTTGTGCTACTTGCCATGGGTATACTGAAAGTTCTTTGACAGCTGTTGTCATTTCAGCAGACCAACAATGTTGGTGGGGATATGAGTATACCCTTGCCTGCATGACACCAATGCCCGCATTACAGTCCAACGTTTCGATGATTATCAGCGGATCTGATATCATGCCTACTGTTCAAACTATTCCGAAACCTCGACTTTGCCTCGTGAATACAACTGGAAGTTGTCCAAATGGGACAAATGAAGAGATAGCCAGCGAGTGTCAGTATTATTACAAACCATTCATTATTGAAGGCGTTGTAAGGAAGCATCCTGCATGCAGTAATTGCAACGGAGGTCCCTTGGTCATATGCCAACCAATGATAACTGATCATGTGGATGCACGGAATTTACCAATGTATGAGTATGACGAACCAATGCATAACGAAGGAATAATTGATATTTTTATAATGCCCGAACCCATCAGGCCCCTAGTAGTACAATGCATAGAAGGATTTGAAATGGATGACAATGGTAACTGCGCTCCCATATCATCCGATTGGCCCGTCTGTCAATCCAAATATTTTGGAGTCAAACAAAGTAACGGAACTGTAGAGTGTTTAGAAGAGATGGTTTGTTTCAGGGAGGTGACCATGGATAACATTACAATATCGGCAATAGTTCCCCCACCTTGTCTAGTTAGGTCTTCAACAGACGTGGTTAATGATACTATAACATTTAGTGTGATTTACAGAGATGACATGAACCCATCTCTTGATATAATCCAGAGAGACATCATACATCAACTTCAAACTCCTAGCCGTGACGGTTGCAAGGACATAGTAATATCAACTAGTCAATCCTGTTATGTCGAAGAAAATCCTGAAAACATTACATATCGTTGTCCCGAGGAAATGTTTGCTGGATATTATTTAGATCTTACGCCTTCTCTTATCAACAATGAGTCTCTTATTTACTTCAATGGAACTTATATTCGACCAACATGGTGGAGTAATATCACCAACATGCAGTTCAGCAGTGACAACGTCTCATCAGAGTATCAGTTTGTTATGTGTGGGACCGAGATTGCCCTCCAAACATGCTCTTTCTTCACGGTTTCCAATGATTCCATTGAATGGGACTATCAAGGAAACCAGTCTGTTATTCTGTATCAAGGTCAGATGTACGACATAGAGGACATTCTGATTCATCCCGATGGTTCCATAAGCATCTGCTATATTGATCAGGTCACACCCATTAGTAGAAGGACATTGATAATCCTAGGACATGTTCTCTTTGCCACATCATCAATTTGTCTCTTTGCTACATTGATAACTTACGTTGCCTTCTCTACCTTGAGGAATCGTCAAGGTGTATCCATAATGAATTTCATTGTTGCGTTGTTCCTTGGACAAATCTTCCTTCAGTACATTCGTCTTTTAGTCTCCCAGTTGGGAATACCTTGCATAGTCGTTGCTGCGATGTCACATTTCTTCTTCCTTGCTTCGTTTTTTTGGACGACTATCCTTGCTTGGGACCTGAGTCGGAGCTTCGCAGCAAGTAAGATGAAATCGTTTTCATCTAGCACATTTGGTCGTAAGATGGTGTTTTTTCTTGTTATTGGATGGGGCACCCCTCTCGTCTTTGTCTCGATCACTTTGTTACTTCAGTTCGGAGGATTTAAAATGGTCCTTTTTTGGAATACGACAGTAATACATGCTGGCTTGCCAAACTATCTAGCATAGTAATGTTCTTTATTCCAATGACTCTTTGTCTTCTATCTAATCTCGTGTTTTTTGTCATCACGATACATGGAGTTCATTCTATCAAGAAAACAACATCTATGCTAAAATCTGGCCAGGACTCTCAATTGAAACAATGGACGGTTGAGCTCAGAATATATGTCAAGGTAGGTTCCAAACAAGAGTGTTGTTTCCTCAATGCTAAAATTCTAAAATTAATAGCGAATTGTGAATCGATTACTGGAAGTGGATCTACTTGCTACTCCGCGACGTTTCATCAGTCCATCCTGGCTTCTTCTGGTGGTCTGATCCTATCGGGGGGGGGGGGGGCGTTTGGGAAAACAAAAGTTCGGGGGGATTCATAACACGTTCTCGCAGGTTGCAAGTAATGGCCATTGTTCAGTGTGTTAAAATGAAAATTAACCTTCGTTTTGGCAAGTTTTAAACACCTTGGTAATATGTGGTTACCAACATTATTGATCACCTGTTTAAAGTTTTGAAAGCATTTTAAGTGTGTTCTTTAAGATGGTATTGCGTGTTGCACTACTAATGCATCTGGCATCTTTGTTTATCAAAAAAACTGTGTTAATTATTTCATATTACCATAACCGTGAAAACAATATACATGTCGTACATTATGTATAAGTATAATTCGTCGCTGTTTTCACGAAGTGACGGTAGTGAAAAAAAATTGCATTCACATTGCGTTACGATTTTCCTCACTACCGTCACTTCGTGAAAACAAGGACGAATTATAATGATTCTCTCTGTTTGTGGGTGTGTGCGTGCGTGTGTGTGCGTGTGTGTGTGTGTGTGTGCGTGTGTGTGTTGGTCTGTGTGTGTGTGTGTGTGTCTCTCTCTCTCTCTTTCTCTCCTTCCACCATCCCAATCTGTCTCTATGTGTTATTATCTGTTATCTTTCTCTCTCTCTCTCTCTCTCCTCCCCCCCCCCCCCCCCCCCTCTGTCTTTCTCTCTTCACCCTCCCAATCCGTCTCTGTCCTATTATCTGTTCTCTCTGTTTCCTGACCACCTTCTAATTTATTTTCTGTTTGGTCCTTCTCTTCAAATAATTCTCACTACAACTAAGTGTCGCACTTTTGAAGCACAAGTATAGCTGAACTGTTTCCTTTCATCTCTCCTCCTTCTCGTCATTTGTAAATAGATCTCAGCTCTTCTTGGATTCGCCTGGTTATTTGGGTTCTTAGCTATGGTCATCAGAGTCCCCTTCATGGACTATCTCTTCATCATCGTCATCAGTCTCCAAGGCGTCTTCATTTTCATTTCATTCGGTGCCAACAAACGAGTCAAGAAACTCTGGCGAACATTTTCGCAGAACTCAACGCTGTGGACGACTCTTTCTCGAAGAGAGCATTCAAGCGGTCGTAGTAATACTGGAACACAGGATGGACGCACACAATGTAGTGAGAAACATTAGACACTATAAATATAAATGGAAGGAAGAAAGCGCAGATACTTACCATAAGTTGCTAGAAGGGAAGGGGTAGTAAAACTCCGGCTGCAGTTCCCACTCGTCAACAGAGAGAGAGAGCCTTGAATGGGTGGGTGAGGGGTAGAGAGGTCTATTAAGAGCCATTAAATCACTAAGCTGCGACTGTTAGCGCAACACTCGAACGGCATTCGCAAGGGAGTTTCCCAATTATCTCGAAACTTTCGTGGGGTTCTATAGTTCTCAATTACCTCGCGTGACTAGCCGGTCCTTCCTCTCGTGTTGCTGGAATTTTAAACTAAATTTTCTCTCAAAATAGTCACAGAGTCGTCGCGTATGTCTCGAACCCTTCTCAATAGGTCATTTTCGTAATGTGTATGCATGTGCATTAGTAAAGCGCCTAGATACGAATAAATGTATCTCAATAGTCACGTTTCAAATTGCATTTATTCGTTCTTGCTAGGTAAGACAAACATGACTAGCCCTACCTACCAACATGTTATATATGTTATTTGCATTCTGACTAATGAATTAACAATGGATGCCCCCCTCCACAAATTTTATTTTTCGTTATAGAAAGTGATAGTGGGATGGAAAGGTACACTAAATTATATATTTTTTTACTAATATTTTACAAATTGTTACTACCCTTGTATATAAATTGAAATATAATTGATTTTTTGTTGTTGCCTAAATACAACTTGGCAATGCTATTTTATCGTATCAAAAAATGTTTTAATATTTAGAAAACACGTATTAAAGTTATACCCCTTAACAAAAAAGTCTAAATAAATTTAAATTTGTTAACTATATTTTCACTATATCTTATTAAATGATATTATATTTATATCATATTTCAGCATATATTTTATCATATTTATATCGCGGTTAAAATTATTTGATATTTCTTTCTTCTCCCGCAAAAAAGGGAGCTGATGTAAAGTGGATAAAACGTTCAGTTTGTACAAAGTACCTGCGTTTTCAGACGGACATGAACATTATATTTGTCATGTTATTAGATATGTATGTGATGTTCCCAAAATAGATTAAGGTTCTGTTGGTGAATAAATGTTTTTCTTTATTTATCTAGTCTGATTATGAAATATGAATTAAAATTTACCTTTATAATGTGAACTGTATGCAGTAGTGGCGTGAACATACAATGTTAGATCAATAACTAGATCTACTAGACCTAAAAGTGTTGTTGAGGTGAAATATAGCAGATAATCATTACTGACTACTGTGGCCGGTGGGCTAACTATCATCGCCTCGGTGATCTCGGGAGCTACACTTTTTTTTAGTTTGTTAGCTTCCTCGAGATTACTTCTGCGATGATAGTATGTTCCATCGCCAGCGAAGTGGGTATTATTCTTTGTTTAATAATATATGATTGTATGTATATTATACGATATTATACAAAATCTGCGATTTACTCAAACTCTGTTTTTTGGCTAGCCTTGTCGGGAATCTTGCATGAAAAGATCCGATTAAACAATATACAAAATAATAATGACATCAACAGCAAAAATTCGATTTCAATGTCATTTAACATGGATCTTTGGTTTGCTCACTTGTAAAAGACAAAGGCCCGAACAAAGTTTACAAAGAACAGAAATGTGATACAAAACATGGATACATGTTGGTGATGAAAAAAGTAATATGGCATACGTAATAATGATTTTCGTTTGGTTGTGGCTTCTTTGGTTTCCTTAAGTTACGTAATTTAAGTTTCTTCATTCATATTTATACATACAAATTATTTACCACTATACACATTGAAAATTTAGCTTTTAAACTGATTTGAAGTATATCGGAATAAATCTGATAAATTGAAAATGTAAATACTGATATATATGAGCCAATGATTACCGTATACTTAACCGCTAATTGATTTTACTAAATAATCATTTTAATCATTTCCTAACTCGATACATAATATCAAAGAAAAAGGCCATTATTTACATGCCCTGGTTGAATACGGACAGAATGTGTTTGTAAATTACTGTGTTCTACATCTTAGAGATCTCAATCTTCTCCCTGATCGGAAAAACTCATAGAAAGAAAATAACGGATGATTGCAATTTATCATGATTTCGTTGGCTTTTTGGACGATTTTCCTTTTACAATCTTCCACCAAGTCTTGCTTTCGCCAGAACCCCTTTTCTAGAAAATGCAAACCATACGATAGACTAAAATAAAATAACACTCTGTACTATCGGAATATAAAACAAACTCAAATCGTCCTATCCACATGGATGGACTTCATTTTTCGTAGGAAAAAAAATACTCTGCTGTGCTTTTCCCGTTGCAACCAACCTTACATTGTTCTGTTCACGATAATATATTTTTCCCACAATGTCAATATCTACACCATTCATCTGAATTGGTTTAATAAAAGATGCCCTTGTCCAGGGGCGTACGCAGGGGGGGGGGGTGGGGGTTCAAACCCCCCCCTTTGGTATTTTTATGTGTGTAAACCCCCCTAAAAAAACTAAACCCCCCCCCCTTTGTTTTTTTGTTTTTTTGTTTTAAATTTAAAAAAAAAAAAAAAAAAAAATTATGCCCACGGCTAAAGTAAAGTGACCTTACCCCCCCCCCCCAAACGAAAAAGAAATGTCAAATTTTCAAATTCCGAGACCAAAAAAAAAAAAAGTGTCTGCTTACCCCCCCCCCCCCCCCCCCCCCCCCCCCCCCCCCCCCCCACTGAGCGACTTTTCGGCCGGCGCGATTTTCAAATTTTCGGGAGCAAAATATTTTGGGCCAGATTTTAAACCCCCCCCCCCCCCCTTGAAAAAATCCTGCGTACGCCCCTGCCCTTGTCTATCTAAAATCAAATATCAACTCTTTCGTTTGGGGGCATTAGTTATTAGTGATATATGTGTTGTTGGCTAGCCTTGTTGGGAATCTTGCAAAAGATCCGATTAAACAATTAAAAACAAGCAAAACATACAAAACATAAAATCATAAACTTTAATTTCAACCGATTAGAGTCACACGTAGGCCCACGTAAGACATCTTTGTATGGAAGAGGCAACCCTTGTTTCTGGGAATATTGAATACTTGTTCTTATATCATATATGTATATATACCACACACATGTGTGTGTGTGAGGGGTGCGTGCACATGTGAGTGTTGGTTTTTGTGTATAATAATTAGATTAATACTGATACTAATGTCTCTTATTACAATTAAACTAGTTATCTTGAGGTCTAATCTGCTCTGTGTCGTTATTTGCATCATTAAAGTCTGTGTGTTTGAGTAAGAGAGAGAGAGAGAGAGAGAGAAAGAAGAAGGGAGACATAGGAGAACTATAGGTAGAGAGAGACGTGGTTTAAAGAAAACGCGAGAACAAAAATATAAAGAGACATATAGTTCTAAAGTGATACAGAGTGAGATATATATTATATATATATAGAGAGAGAGAGAGAGAGAGGGGAGAAAGAGAGAGAGGGGGGAGAGAGGCGGACAGACAGGGAGAAGAGAAGGTATACTAAAGAAAGTAAGAAAGGAAGAAAGTGGTATGGGCACTGACTTCATTTTGCGACTCCACTTTCTGTATCCATTCAAAAGTATTATAACTTCTGAAGAAGAAAAATTAGATTACCGTTTTTGAAGAAAATAATGCGACCAGAAAATGTAAGTCTCTGGTAAACCTGTTCTTGCTAGAACAATATACAGAACTGTAATATTAAATTGGAAACATAATTATTCAAACTTGTAGAATTTGAGCTAACAGTATCTTTCTCATGTCAAATTGAATTTTTTAAAAACAAAAATGTGAGTGAATCAGATAAAAGGAATCTCTCTCTCTCTCTCTCTCACTCCCACTCAATACAATAAACATTACAATGTTATCCTTTTCGCCCCTACCTCTCTGTTTCTCCCTCAAACTCAATACAAGAAACATTACAATATTATAATTGTAAGCATATAGAAAATATAACCAGTAAACAGAAGGGCATTTACCAGAAAGTCATAGCACGAAGATAGGTAGGCAAATACGACGTGTTATTTGATAAAATGTAGACGAACATAATGAATGAGGCTTCAAAACAATCACTCATTATTACGAATTCAGACAACAAAGTTCCTAAAAAAAATACTTCATCAGTCACAAGAACAACGATAATCAAATACAAGAACGTGTTAAATTGCTATAAGAAAGATTTAATCTTTTTAATTACCGAAAAACTACGCCTTCCGTCACTGAAACGAAACTAGCTCTAACGAGCTATTTTGTCATAATTTGGTAAAAACCTACATGTATTTTCTTGTGGCTTCTGGAAAAATAAGGGAAAATCAAAGAAACCATGCAAGCGCGGCCATTTGATCAAACTGTTCAACGGCTGGTCCGGGGTTGTTTGGTTAGGCGCGTGAAATTCTTCCCACGTTATATTTTTCAAGCGTCACGAATAGTTGTTAAAGGGACACTGCCATACTTGTAGCTACTTGCTCCCTCTATATAGAAAACTTCCCCATCGGTGCCTGTTGGTCCCCCATGATCCTCTTTTTCTTATGTTAAATGAGAGCTGAGTTAATGAGATAGCCACATGTCACCTCGATGGCTCGCTGTGTGGTCTAATCCCTTCTTGCCCAGTAGTGGTGACGGTCTTTAAAAGAGAACAAAAAATAATGAAAATACTATAAAACATATTTTACAAGTATATAGCCTTTTAAATAACTTTTTGGAAAAAATGTTCACAAGAAATAACAAACCGGAATGTGCCGTCATGACAGAAACGATTTTGTTTCTGTTTAAACAATTAAATCTTCAGTTGGGTTTTAAAATCATGTAATCAACTCTGCTGAACAATGAATACTATATGTTTACACACACACAAAACGGAGATGCTACCTAAGGCAAACACATAATATCATTTATCGCCACTAGATGGGGTACGACAGTCCAAGAGGATGGGAATATACAGTAAACTTGCCCATGTCGCGGCTCTTGACATGGTCCCGTTCTTTCTGGATACGCACCGCCTCCCTGATCTGTCTGCTGAATTTGTTGTCAGTCTGATAATGCCTGTGTAGCACCGACATTTTTGGGGTGGGGTGAGGATCATATAATAATCACACAGTTACTCGTAATAGCAGCGGAAGTCTGATACAAATTGCATATCGGGGAACTTTTCTTTAATTAGTACCCATGCAAATAATCCCCCCTTTTATGCCGGTTACCACAGGATTCACACAAACATTACGCACACCAATTACATCACATAAACAAACAATCAATCATACCACGAACACCGAGAACATATCACAGAACATACAGTTACACGATCAAAGCAATCACTCTCATTCAATCACTACACACAAGAGTCTGAAAATCTAAACTACTACTCATTATTTATGTGAGTATATATTGGGATGTCTTTTCCCTTTATTATTTACAACTTATCTTCATGCACTTCTATAAAGTCATAGAAGTTTAACAAAAACAATAACATTTAACTGAACTATAACTATCTATACTAATCCTACAAGGTCATACATAACTTATCACTACTACATTTACATCCTATATTATATCAATTGGACATGAGGGTTCTGAAATGGTTAGTGCTGAGGCGACGACCTTCATTGTGACGTTGTCTAAAGAGAAGAAATATTAAATATTGTCAGCGACAATTAATATGGTGTTGTCCCAATGGAGGTTGGAGACAAAAGAGCGGCGAATAATATCTTTACTATTATTCTCTAAATTAATTATTATTATTATTATTATTATTATTATCCTCATGCCAATACATCAAAACTGAAATAGTAAGTAAATAATATTTACAGAAAAACATGCAACATATATGATGACGATAGTACTCTCTGTTTAAGGAGGCTTATTTTCATCGGTTAGTAATAATCAGGAATAACTGTAATAAGTTTACAAGTTCAAAGAATGATTCAATAGCATCACATGGTTTAATAGCATGTGATATCACTTTCTCCCATCTCTACAACAACTTTACACAAAATCCGTTTAAATCTCACAACTGCATAACCATCCACTCTTGAGAAATACATAATGCCAACAGTTGGTTATAATTGAGTAAGATATTCGAAAAGTGTAATAATTTGCTTACCTATAGAGAAGAAATATTAAATATTGTCAGCGACAATTAATATGGTGTTGTCCCAATGGAGGTTGGAGACAAAAGAGGCTGATGATGAGGAGAAGATGGCTGACTTTGAGATGGTTTATGCCATCTCCCAACTTAGAGGTAAAAAGCTTAAGTACTTTCATTAATACATGTTCAGGATAAGCATTTAACAATTACATCATACAACATTGATATAGATGAAACATTGTATAATCATATAAATAACTTTCCCCAAGTGGAGAAAGATAAACAATCAATAAACAATCATAATTGATACAGTATGTAGTTATGTATATTAATTCATAGGCCATAACACCCCTAGGCTAAAAGAATGGAGTGACCCAACCATGGTCAATCTTGACCACACATGACTCATGACTCATGTTTCAGGGGGACGGCGATGTTCTCCGGTTCCAGGAACAGTTGGTATACCACATACAAGGCACACGTGTGTACTCGTATGCATAGACTATGGGCATATATATGTACTATGTATTTCCTCACTGCACTGGGCATGTGGAATGTTCAATAAGGTGAAAAGGGCAAAGTTATAAAATTCATGGACTCACATGTAATATTACAAACATATGATAAATGCGTATAACTTTATATATAATATTAATGTTGCACCAAACAGGGGCTACACCTGCATCAACGAGTCGGCGAAAGTCTCAAAGGTAAAAACAACCTTTTTGGTTGTGATACAATGGAAATTCAATTCATGAAATAATTACAGATCAGATTAACCTCTTCAAGGACATAGTTACAAACCTTATTATAAGGTCCTAAAACAAATTACAAAATTTGAAACCTATCTGCAACTTGGTATCGAGAAAATATCAGAGTATGCAGAATGCAGTAGTTACCTTATCCTTCTCATTGAGAAAAAAAGGAAAATATCACGAGCTTATATGATATGCCCACCTTGTAAAGTCAGCATAAACATTGCTCTTCTTAGCGCAGTATACATGTTAGAAGATCCCATGTTAAAAAATGTAACATTATTATTTTACCTGATTAACGACAAAGGCATAGTGTATTTCAAACTAGTGATAAGAGCTAACAAAAACACGTTTTTTTTTTTTTGGGGGGGGGGGGGGGGTTTGTGTTTTTTTTTGTGTGTGTTTTTTTTTTTTTTTTGGGGGGGGGGGGGAACAAATGTTAAATGCACGACAAAAGAAACGCGTTAAATGAACAAAATGTGATGATGTTGATGATTATGATAATGATGACGTAGAAGACGACTATGATGACGGAGGATGATATTAATTACAATTTCAATATTGACATTATGTAATAATAAAATTATTAAAATTATCATTGAAATGATGATCTTCATAATCATGATCATCATCATAACTATCCGACGTTCATCATCATCATAGTAAAAATAATCATCATCGTTATAGTAATAATAATCATCATCGACATCATCATGTTAACCATCATATTCATCGACATCTTCTTCATAATCATCATCATCATCATCACCATCACCACCACACCACCACAACCATCATCAATCATCCGACACAGTCATCGCGATGATATCACTGTGGTACAATGAAAGTCTGTGCTTGTAGACTACCAGTGAGGAAAGTGATGTTTATATTAAGCCATACATGTATCATCCGGGGTTCAATCCATCAACTTCCACCCAGTAGCGTTACGTACCTATAAGATTATTGTAACACCCAGTATGATATCCCTCCGCTTGAACCTTCACACGGACGTACCTCTCATCACAAATTCATGACTCTATTTCAGGAATACAAACGATGTTATTGCTTCACTGCACACAATATTGAAGTCAGAATAATCATCTGCTCAGAAGTCATTGCGTTCGAAAGTAATTGGTTTCCAAAAGTGAATATTGGAGAGGAGTTCAGTACCTTGATGGACACGGGTCATAACAAGCCTTGTGATACCCAACGGATCGGGCTGTAGGTTCCATTCGACCTGATTGTCAAGCCAGGGCGAGTCTGCCCGCGCCAAGGCAGTCAGATGGTGCAAAGTTCATCGCAGTGATCTCCGTGTTTTGCGAATGCATCTCATCGATACTGATCTACTTTGTTAGTTGAACTGTCACACATGGTCAAGTCAGATGGATAAAATGGATCTTTCTTCTTCACTGGTCCTCATACTAGTTTTCATTGTGTCAGTGGATTACGCAGCGAGTCAATCTGGTGAGTATCGTCTGCTCATTTTTATTATCATATCTAATTATTTATCAGAAATGATTTCATAAATAGTTGCTGGCTTTGCAATAGTTGTGGGATTTCATGTAAAAATATCCGACCAGTTTAAGATGTGTTCAGTTAAGTTCATATTGTAATATTTATGAGAAAATCCACTCATCAATGAGGAGCATTTGCCGACAGCCCGACAAGGGTTCTCTAAAAATTTGGATCGATCGAACCAAATTAACTCTTCTTGTGAATGATTATATAACAATCAATCTTGTTGTTACTATCAGCGTTAGATAATAATTTATAATTCTTTTTCTTACTTTACTTTAAACTTGAGATGTGAATACATTAGATATATATATAGATATATATATATGCTATTAGTAAGTGATTTTGCTTCTTCTCATTATGACTATGACCAAGGAGTTATTTGCTGTGACTAGGCAATGTTTATACCAACAATATTGATATCATATACCCATTTATACTGGGAGTAAGACATTCCCTGGTCTGGCTGGAGTAAACAAAAGTATATAATTTCCCATCGGGGGGGGGGGGGGGAGGTTCCATTGCAACAGTCATAATGTAATGGCAAAATATATATATAATTTTAGTGATCTATATAACATATGTTATCATGCGAGATACCCGAGCGATGTCAAATTTCCCATGAGACCAAAGATGAAGATTTTTATGAACCATTCCCGGAAATTGTTGCTTTAATGAACATTATAATTGTATTTAATGAGTTCTTCATGACGATGGACAATGGCTATCCATGCATGATTAATAATATGACACGTACACCATTCAGCTTCTTGGTGGGAGTGTTAATTAAAGGTACTATGTCCCATTTGCAGGCCAAAAAGGAAAAAGTTAAATTCCAACGGCATTTGAAAGATAATACTAATTTAGAACTTCCCTAAATAAAGAGGGGCTTGAAAATGTCTTTAAGTGGGTAAATAACAACTATTAGTATTAGTTGTCGAATCGACTTAAGTGATACCAATACAGTAAGTAACAGTCTGATTTCAGACCATTGCTCCGAATAGTGGTACGTTTTGTGCTGTACAAAGATTCAATCACTTCAATTTTGGCCATTTAAAGAAGTGGGTTATTGATGTAGACAAATACTCATGTACCCTTTACAGCTCATTTATGTATGTTATTACCAACGAAGCATAATTTAAATATTAGGACACTGCTAACGTTTAAATTTCACATATAGGACATACATGACATATTCATAATTCCTGCAAAGTTCTACAGAATTTGATGTTGGCTGCAAAAGGGAAATAGTATCTTCAAAAGGATTTCTTTCTTTTCATTTTCAATTCTTCCTAACAAATGATAATGTAAAATTATTTGTTTCTAATTAGTTTTAAAAGTGAATTCCTTGCAACGATTTTTGGTAAAGCCACATTTTTTGTTTGCCATCATCGACCATCGACGTGTTTCAGAATGGATCAATGCCAATAAATTATCCCTCAATCCACAAAAGATGAAGTACATACTCTTCAGTAACATAATAAATGAACTTCCAGGCATTGTTGTTTCGTTTTTACTATTATTCAAAGAGTTTTAAATACAATGTTTTGTTGGTTTTTTTTTTTTTTTTTTTTTTTTTTTTTTTTTTTTTAATGTTTTTTTGGGGGGGATAACTATTTCTTGAAAGGAACACGTAGATAATAATTGTTAAGTAAATTCAACGTCGATCCACCGGAATTATAGCGTCGGGTATTTGTGCTCACTGTATCATTTAAATAGAATTTTAAATTGAAGTGCTGCGTGTTATATGTCGCTCTGATTTTTGAACGCACGGCACACTGATGCACTTTTTGACACACGTAGCATTCTAAAGAAAACAGATTTAAACAGTTATAACTTGGGAATATTTCATATAATTTAAATAGAAATTAACTTCCAAATGTTTTTTACTCAATGTTTACAAAGAATGTCAATGATATTCATCATTATCCTACTCAGTCTGCCGGGCTTAATTAAGATCTACCAAAAGCAAGAAAAAATCATTTGTATTTTCAGGCTCAAAAGTTTGGGACTCTCTTTCAGATCCAGTTAGAGATCTGGCGAGTTGGCTCAGTCGGTAAAGCGTATGCCCGTCGAACCAAAGATCTCGGGTTCGAATTCAACCCAGGCGGATGACTGAAACCTACGTTTTGTGTTAATGTGCCCCTCCCCATGTTTCATAGACCGCAGGCTATGTTAAGTGGAAAACACTCCTTCCCTCGGATATGACGTTAAATGGAGGCCCTGTGTAGAGAAGAGTCTCAATCTTTGCACGTTAAGAACCCACTGCACTATTCGTATAAGAGTAGGGGTAGACCCTGGTGTACACTTGCACACCTCCAATCAGTTATACCGGCAGGAGAGACCCGAGGGTTACAGTGATTCAGTTCGCTTTTCCCCTACCAGTCACAGGTGACGCCAAGAGATATATCCACATATTAAAGTTTTAGTAGACGGTCCAAACAGAATTTAATACAAAAATACATGTCTCCTACGGGTTAAACTTTTAGTATATGGGAAGACCGCCCACATCTTCCCTGTTTCACCCCCCCCCCCTCTCTCTCTCTCTCTCTCTATCTCTTCTTCTTATAATTTATGTAGTGTGCAGCTTCGTTTTGTTTGTCTTGTCATGTATTGTCCTGTCATGTCCCGTCTTATCTTATTATGTCAGTTTCATGTCCTTTGTGTCCCGTCTTGTCATTCTGTTCTTTCGTATATTTCGATTATTTTTTTAGACACTCTAAAATGGTTAATGAAAAAATGTTATTACAATTATTTTACTATTCTAAAATGATTTATGAAAATATGTTCAAATTATATTATTTCTAGGGAACCTACAAAAAACAAGTTATGCTTCCCAGTAGGTTCCCGTTTCATTTCATAATTTTGAACTTACTTTGTCAACTAAGTTCTTTTTTTTTGGAAACAACTGATATGAAATGGAATAAATTCGAATAAATCAATCAATCAAAGCAAACCTGTTCCCTCAATAATGATTCGTAGCGCAGAAATGTCTGCGATCTCCTTCTCGTTACAGCTTTGATTATTATTACGCTTCCGAAGGTTTATCCCTTAATGCATGTCGTAATTAAGTTCATAAGAGCTAATCTATTTAAAGCTCAGAACAATAAACATATTTTATATGACGTGTGTGTCTCTTTTATGTTGTCAAAGTTCATGTCAATAATACCAATATAGGAACGGGTACTTCTGCACTCAATTTGTTTTGCTTCCGGTATTCCATATGAATTAGGTTTATAATTTTTTGTATCAAGTATAATATGCACGATTATTTGTTGCCAGGTCGTACTAACCTCTGCAAACCCACGAATCGTTTGTCGGGAAAGCATGCATAAAAGTGAATAATATTGAATTAAAAAAAAATATGTAAAAACAAATGCTCGACCTGAAATTTTCTAATAATATTTTCGTTTTTTAAGAGGGAGAAAGAGACAAAGGGGTCTTTGCATCATATTTTGATCGTTTCATAATTCATGAATCTCGTTTGATTTAGGTCAAGCCTGTTTCAATGATTATTTTATATCGACAGTGATCTCACTTGCTATGTGAAAAATATCAACTGATGATTATGCGTATATAAGATCCTGATATATGACTTGTTTGAATGAATGATCTAATAGCCTTTGAAATATTGTTGTTTGAAAAATAATATTCTTTCAGTCATTAACTTTCGTCTCACACGCCTTCATTTACACACTTTCGTTCTAGGGTGTTCCATCATTATGCAATTTCGTGTATGTACATAATATGTACATGTAATAAGATATCTTTGGCAAAGGTGACTTTGAACCCTTTTTTCATGAATACAAAACCAAATCTAGGTTGTTGATACCAGCTGAAAATATAAAGTGGTTTGAAGTTCATTAAAGTCATGTCGATGACTGAGGTTGATTTACTTCAAGAGTAACCCGAAGTTACAATCAAAGTCAAGTGCTCGTGATCTGAACGAATAATCAACTTAAAGAGGAGTTAAGGGTCAAGACGATTTATAGACCTTCGGGGGAGGGGGGTTCCCAATTCCCTATATTTTAGACCAACTCCTCAGTATGCACTTATCAAACTTGGCGCCCCTGCTTCACCCCAATTTGTCCAATCCTGGAATTGCTTCATCAGAGAAGATACAAAAAGAAGTGAAGGAAGAACATGGGGATGGAAATATCAGTATTATAAAGACCCCTTCACCTCTCCCTCCCCCTTCTTCTCGTTTTGTCCACCCCTCATCATCTCAAGCTGACTTTTACCAAATGATAATTCCATTTCTTATCGGTCATTATTTTCATCCCTGTTTCAGGTGTATATAAGCTCCCCATGATCGTCATTGGATATAACCCTTTATAATTCCTGTATTATGCTTGATCATAGAAATGGAATGAAATCCATACAGTTATTGCCGTATTGGTTTATTGCCTTTTGATTCACAACCAGTTCGTCTACTACCCAATAAGACTATTCCCAAATGGTCTAATATCCACATTGTCTAGTAATCATTTCGTCTAGTTATCACTTGGTCTAATGACCATTTACGCTAAAAGTCATTTGGTCTTTTTTCCATTTGGTCTAATATCCAATAAATATACTACCCTTTTGGACCATTACACATTTAGTCTAATTTCCAGTCGGTCTTATTCCCAGTTTGTCTAAAGCTCATTTTGTCTACTATCCATATGGTCTGATACTTATTCATAAATATTGATAATCATCAAATGAGTATTAGACCTTTTGGATGGTAGACGATGAACAAAGAAGACGAAAGACTTGATGCATGGCTGATCGTCAACGAAACGGAGTTAAGTCTTTTGTCAACTCTGTTTGTTGCTACGGCAGGCAGCCAGTGAAAACGAATTCGTTTCATCAAATTATGGAAATACAAGCACTACTTTAAACAAACAGAACCTTTATTTATTCCTAGCTCATTTTTCCTGATTGAGGTGTCATATGAAAGGGCAAAAAATGAACTTTCTAGAAATGTGATTTTCTCTTTGAAATTCAGATATCGTCCGCCAAATGCTTTTTGGTACCCTTTCTTCAAATTGATTTTAATCACTCATGCGTGAAATATGCATCACATGAGTTGCATCAATTGACTATTCATTCAATTGTTAGACCTCCAATAAAAGAGAAATGGGAAGAAATGTTAAATAGTACAGAATTACAAATCGACTGGAAAGTCATATGGTCATTTAATTTACAAGCTATGAAAGAAAACAAAATATCAGAATTCAATTTTAAGTTATTACACAACTTATTACCAAATAGGTATAATTTATTCAAATGGAAATTGTGTAACAATCCCTTATGTTTATATGATAATCAGTTACACGACAATCTCCATTTATTTGTAAAATGCAAGCACAAGATTGTTTTGGTTAAAATTTGGAGACATAATTCGAAAACTTTACAATGTTAATTTTTCTTTTGACAAGTTTGTTTTAATTGAAGGTTATAACTTGAAAAACAAAATATTTAAAATTTTAAATTTTCTTATCATATATGCAAAATACGCAGTTTATTTAACATTGTTGCAAGCAGAAAATCGCAAACTCATGTTTCATGAAGTCTCTATTCTTTGTATTTTCAAAAGACTAATCCACAACCGATTAAAGATCGAAAGGAACTGTAAAACAAAAAAGCCCTGCATTTTTTAAAACACTGTTATTCACGAAAACGAAACATGTTTTATTTGAACTATGTTAAGATGCTACGATGTTATTTCAATTGATTGTGTATGATTGTTTGATTTGTTCAAAAGCGTATATTTATCAATAAATTCATTTTACCAAAAAAAAAAAAAAAAAAATTGACAGAGGATCTAAGCTTAACAAATATGTGTCATTTATTAATTATAATTGTGATTAAATTATGATGAAACATCGATAATTCTCTGTTTTTTTTTTTTTTCTGGGACGCACTGTATATACCCCTTTTTCCGTTGTTTTGTTGCTCACTTTAAAAAAATCCAACAATGTCTCTTTATTCAACCCCGATCAAGTTCTTTCCTAATGTATTCCACATTTGATGGACCTTGTGATATTTTCCGAGGTCCTGCCATGATAGATATCCTGCTATATGTCAGGCTTAAGCTTAAACCATCATCATGAAACATTCACACATGTAATCATTCATGTATTCATTTATTCACAGTGAATAAATGAATACATGAATGATAACAACCGTTTAATAGTGACTATTAAACGGTTGTTATTCAGATAGTCCGTGGGCGATGGATTAGCAACATACATATTTTAAGACACCAAACCACTTAAAACTGCATATAATATGATTAGAAATTTAGAATGGTAAGAGCTAAATTTATATTGCTTACGTATCCATCCCAGGGGATGCTCATGGTGCCCACAAAGTATTTTTATTATCCTGGTTCTAGCCAAGCTGCCATACGGCGCTAAAAGTATTCAAGGAATAAATTCCTACCAACTACCTAATCTACTACGCCTGGGTGTATAATAGCAATGTAGATTAATGTCTTGCCGAAGGAGACTTACGTGCCTCGAACCGCTGGTCATGTGATCCACAGTCCGGTGACGTTATCCACTACACCACGACACCTCTGCAGAGTGAGTCAGAAAAAATGTCCCACTTTTAAAAAGTTGTATTGTTTGAATATTTAATCATGGGTTTCATGATATGTCTTGATAGAGTTATCTTTCCAGTGCATTTAGGTACCATTTTCATTTGAATCTCTGCATGCATGACTGAACATCAGACAATTAAGACTGCCAAATCTCACTTGCGTCAAGTTACTGGGTGAGGAATAAAACAGTGCATTGAACAAAGGCAGTCAGACAGACACAGACACGCACAGAGACACGCAGACACAGACATACACATACACACGCACACACACACGCACAGGAACACACACACGTACAGGCACACAAACAAACACACGCACATCCACACACCAACAAAAGACATAGCCAACGATTGATAATGTATACCTACGTATTGAGATAGCACATCGGATTCATGTGCACTTCATGTTAATGATGATGATGATGATGATGATGATGATAAGATGAAGATTAAGATGATGATGATGATGATGATATTATGGTGGTAGTAGAAAAGATTGTCAGGAAAACGCCACTGCAACATTCAGCGATCTGGATAAAAAGGAATGCTTAATCAGAAAAGGGAAAATTATGAAACAATTATTGTTACCGTGTGTGTTGTGTGTGTGCGTGTGTGTTTTGTCTATCTGGCTGTCTCAAAAACACTATTCAAAACACTATGTTATTCCTCACCCAGCAACTTGGCGCAATTGAGATCTGGCAGTCTTGTAAAGATTGTCTGATGTTCAGTCATGCATGCAGATATTTAAATGAAAATGGTACTGGGAGGATAACTCTATCAAGACATATCATGAAACCCATGATTGAATATTCATACTTCAAACAATACAACTTTTAAAAAGTGGGACATTTTTTCTGACTCACTTTGTACATATAGCTGCGTTGTAAATTCTAACTCATATTGCTGACATGCTAGGCATGCTGGGGAAGACATCTCAACCAAGGTCATCTCATCAAAGATCTTCATCTTCTATGATATCGAGTTTATGAAGCTCTGTTTGCCGAATTTTCGCACAAACCATCTAGGGCATTAAGTTTGTGGATGTGCGTGAGGGTACATGGGTGTGTATATACAGTCACTCCCCATGGCTCGATATCTAGGAAAATCTCCATCAAACCACTTGAATCTTTCATATTTCTTTTTAAGACCTTGACAACGGAGCAGAAGTTGATACCTTCGGTTACGGAGAGAACTTGACGATCGTTTCACCAAACTATCCAGACTACTATCCAAATAACGTCAACACTCAATGGCTTGTTTCTGGACCAGCAGACTACCAGATCATGGCAGTTTTTAGCACCTTTGATCTGGAATATAACTATGATTTCCTGAGGGTTGGTTCTGGTCTTGATCCAGATGATACAGCATCATTATTGGCTAATCTCTCAGGTTCTTCTCTACCTGATATCATAGTCTCTAACAGCAATGAGATGTGGCTTGGTTTCACCTCAGACGGTTCAAATACAGAGCTTGGGTTTAGGATGAACATCGAAGTTTATACTCCAGGAAACTATACAGGTACAAAACTATACATAACTTGAACTTAAACTGGATCCGCGCCTGCATCCATCTTTTTTGTATCTACTAACGTTAGACCCTAATAATGGATCTAGAAGATTGATTGACCTGGTCTGAGTGACCGTGAAAACCGTCTAATTTTACTTTAGATTGTCAAACAGTAAAAGTCACGACCCAAATTAGGCCTAAGGCCAAGGGATGTAATCTACATTTTAATGACAAATTGAAGTTAACGTTAGACTGAACTTAAACTGTTGTTTCTCTGTGATACAAGTGGGAAAGGAACACTTTTTTTCAACAACAAAAAATGATTTCCCCTTTTTTCCCCTTCTTTTTTTCCCCAGGGGAGGGGGGGGGGCGGGCCCTCGGCCCTCCCCCTCCCCCCTTGATCCGCCACTGGTGTCACATGATCAAAGTACTATTTTCGCAGTGCGAAAAGTATTACAGTAAATTTAACTTCGACATTGGGAGTACTATTTGGGAATACTATTTAGGAGTACTATTTTGGAGTTGAATTTCAAGAAATTAAAAAAACGTCGATGCCGCATGTAAAAGAAATATACCCTGCCTTATTTTCAAGGTACTGGTTATAACTATGGGCCTCGGTGACTCCAATACCATTTGCCTCGGGGCTGCGCACCTCAGCAAAATTAATAGTACTTTTGGAGTCACCTCTTGCTCATAGTTTCAACCAGAACCTCCCAAAACAGTGTTTATTCGTATACTGTTTACCAACCTCAACCCACACGAATCTTCAACATATATTTCTAGATCTTGACAACGGACCAGAAGTTGATACCTTCGGTTACGGAGAGAACTTGACGATCATTTCACCACACTATCCAGACTACTATCCAAATAACGTCAACACTCAATGGCTTGTTTCTGGACCAGCAGACTACCAGATCATGGCAGTTTTTAGCACCTTTGATCTGGAAGACAACTATGATTTCCTGAGGGTTGGTTCTGGTCTTGATACAGATGATACAGCATCATTATTGTCTACTCTCTCAGGTTCTATTTTACCCGGTATCATAGTCTCTAACAGCAATGAGATGTGGCTGGTCTTTACCTCAGACGGTTCAAATACAGAGCTTGGGTTTAGGATGAACATCGAAGTTTATATTCCCGGAAACCATACAGGTAATTGATAAACTATCTGTATCAGCTTTTATTTCAGTTACGGCGCTGGGGTTTTGGGTTGACAACAAGGTCTTTAACTACCGCAAAATTTACAGGGGATTGATCAATGAAAATTGTGGAGCTTGAATTTCTCGAGAAAACAATTTGAATAAGTAACATGCTTATGATGTCATGATTAATGTAGTTACAATTTCCTGTAACTGATTTTCCTTTTTTTCTGACTCTAATACATGTACAGCTATACAAAGCATTGTTACGTTCTGTGATGATTATGTAGATGCAGTATTCTATGTATAAAATGTATTCATACAGTATAATGATAAAATAGATACCGAAGACTTAAACTCGTTCAACTATTTCACTTCACGAGAAGCTATAATTAATGTTTTCTTTTCTCGTTTCTCTGTACAGACAATGTGACCTATTCTTCACTCCAGGACTCAGGTAAGTATACCCGGCATATACAACGCAGCATGATTATGTCCGAAGTCCACCGCACACTATATACATATACGACCCTCTTGCGAACCGATTTTCAAAGAAATGACAATCGTATTGGATACAGTAATCTAAACAAACGTTGTCTTCCTGATTTAGGTTCTAAGTAGAGATAGGAAAACTAACACCGGAGTTTTGATGTATTTGTAGAGAAGGTTGAGCTCTGCATAGAGGAAATGAAAATTAATTTGTGGGCGTTTTCACTGTTATTATTCAAGTGCGGAAGAACATCAGAGAGAAAATTTTCCCTGAAAAGCATGGCTCTTCAAATACCTTCATATTCTAAATATGACATGAAACAGCTTAAAAATGAGAACCACATTTTTATGCCACATGTTTGTGTTTAATAATCCCATATACATATTTTTGTTTACAGTGCATGTTATATACTTTTATCAAGACTGGCCCAAATTTCTTAACGTTTTGATGATTCCAAAATTTTGCAGTACACACAAATACTTACATGCTACATGATCAACTTTTCTGATCGATTCCCCACCGTTTCACAATGCAATCGCATGCCCAGAACTCAACTTTATCTTTAAGCTTTCTGGTCCGAATAACAGCCAAATCGGTTTCAAATCGTAGATAATCGCACTATATTTCACTTTGACTCTGTGTGTCGATTTAGCATTTCTTCCTCCAAGGAATCTTGGAATAATTTTATATTGAGATTTAGATTTTGTTAATCAAATGACTATTTGAATCCCTAATCAGTAATATTTTATATGTCTGAATATTTATATAAAATGCTTTTTTTAAATTCTTCCTAAATCTAAGGTTTCACTGTTAAAGATATTTCGTTTTAGAGTATTTTCCCTTGGTTTATAACATTTATCTGGCAGTAATACCAGTAAATATCGGTATTTACCGCCCAACCATGAATTAAATACCCTTTCTGCATCTTTTGAATCGTTTAATTTTTTATGAATGAATAAAGATTCACTTTTAATCAATATGATTAATACTGATGCCTTAACACTTTTTCCACAGGGATTTTCTTCGCGGATAACTGTGTTGAGGAGTTCTGCTATGGTGGCGAGGAAACGACTGTATGTAGATGCGATGATATGTGCCAATTCTTTGGTGATTGCTGTCCAGACTACCCTCTGCCAATCTCCAGCGAGACTCCATCAAACGAGACTCTCTCAACCGAGACTATATCAAACGAGACTCTATCAAACGAGACTCTATCAAACAAGGCTTTACCAAACGAGTCTCTATTAGACATTGGCGTATGGGAATGTATCGTTGATTCTTTTCTACCACTATTCTACCCAGAGCTCGGACATGGTTACAGGATGATTGCTAGGTGCCCATCAGGATGGTCTTTAGAGGAGGATGTCAAACGAAACTGTGAAGAGGTTTCTCCCAATGCAACTATCGATGTTCTTTATATCTACCAGGACACGTACTTTCGAAACCTGGGTTGTGCTACTTGCCATGGGTATACTGAAAGTTCTTTGACAGCTGTTGTCATTTCAGCAGACCAACAATGTTCGTGGGGATATAATAATACTCTTGAATGCATGACACCAATGCCCACATTACAGTCCAACGTTTCGATGAATATCAGCGGATCTGATATCATGCCTATTGTTCGAACTATTCCGAAACCTCGACTTTGCCTCGTGAATACAACTGGAAGTTGTCCAAACGGGACAAATGAAGAGATATCCCGCGAGTGTCAGTATTATTACAAACCATTCATTAGTGAAGGTGTTGTAGGTAAGCATCCTGCATGCAGTAATTGCAATGGAGGTTCCTCGGTCAGATGTCGAGTAATAATGTCTATTGATTTTTCAGAAAGAATTGTAGAAGAAATGAATCTAGTTGACATAGGACTTATTGGAATTTTTGAAATACCCCAACCCATCATAACCCTATCATGCATTGAAGGATTTGAATTGGATGATAATGGTGAATGCGCTCCGATATCATCCGATTGGCCCATCTGTCAATCCAATCATTTTGGAGTCAAACAAAGTAACGGAACTGTAGAGTGTTTAGAAGAGATGTTTTGTTTCAGGGAGGTGACCATAGACAATATTAAAACATCTTTAATACTTCCACTACCTTGTCTAGTAAGGTCTTCAGCAGACGTGGTTAATAATACTATAGCATTCAATTTAATTTACACGGATGACATGAATCCATCTCTTGATATAATCCAGAGAGACATCATACATCGACTTCAAACTCCTAGCCGAGACGGTTGCAAGGACATAGTAATATCAGCTAGTCAGTCCTGTTATGTCGAAGACAACCCTGGAAACATAACACATCGTTGTCCCGAGGAAATGTTTGTTGGATACTATTTGGATTTTACGCCTTCTCTTATCAACAACGAGTCTCTTATTTTCTTCAATGGAACTTATATTCGTCCAAAATGGTGGAGTAATATCACCAACATGCAGTTCAGCAGTGCCACCGTCTCATCAGAGTATCAGTTTGTAATGTGTGGGACCGAGATTGCTCTCCAAACCTGCTCTTTCTTCACGGTTTCCAATGATTCCATTGAATGGGACTATCAAGGAAACCAGTCTGTTATTCTGTATCAAGGTCAGATGTACGACCTAGAGGATATTCTGATTCATCCCGATGGTTCCATAAGCATCTGCTATATTGATCAGGTCACACCCGTTGATAGGACATTGATGATCCTAGGACATGTTCTTTTTGCCATATCATCAGTTTTTCTCTTTGCTACATTGATTACTTACGTTGCCTTTTCTACCTTGCGGAATCGTCAAGGTGTATCCATAATGAATTTCATTGTTGCGTTGTTCCTTGGACAAATCTTCCTTCAGTACATACGTCTTTCAGTCTCCCAGTTGGGAATACCTTGCATAGTCGTTGCTGCGTTATCCCATTTCTTTTTCCTTGCTTCGTTTGTTTGGACGACTATCCTTGCTTGGGACCTGAGTCGAAGCTTCGCAGCAAGTAAGATGAAATCGTTTTCATCTAGCTCATTTGGTCGTAAGATGGTGGCTTTTCTTGTTATTGGATGGGGCACTCCTCTCGTCTTTGTCTTGATCACTTTGGTACTTCAGTTTGGAGGATTTCAGAATGGTCCTTTATTGGAATACGACAATAGTAGATGCTGGCTTGCCAAACTATCTAGCATAGTCATGTTCTTTGTTCCAATGTCTGTATGTCTATTTTCCAATCTCGTGTTTTTTGTCATCACGGTACATGGAGTTCATTCTACCAAGAAAACAACATCGGTGCTAAAATCTGGCCAGGACTCTCAATTCAAACAATGGGCGGTTGAACTCAGAATATATGTCAAGGTAAGTTCCGAACAAGAATGCTGTTTCCTCAAAGCATAATGATTCTAAAATTTAATAGCGAATTGTGAAGCAATTTAATGGAAGTACTGTATGCAGTGAATGTAGGTTTTATTAGTTTATGTTAATTAACTTCCATTGACGTAGCATAGGAGTCTTTACATTCTCTGTCATCCCATCTGGTGCCGTAGACGATGGTAGGCCTACGTTTCATTTAGTTGTGGGCTGTTACAATGAGTAGCTTTCTCTGTTTTGTGTGCGGTTGTCAGATGTTAATATTCCAAACCGGCTAGATGCACGCCTGATTCACTTATAATCACCTGCAACATAGTGGTATACAGAGTCACTAAAGTACTTGTCTGTGAGTAATTGTGAGCTACCTGGCTGTTCGCCTTTCGTAATTGTTTGTGACGTGCCACCTACTAAAAGGTCTCTCCCGTAACTAGTTTCCCGCTAAGATAAGAAGTTCACGTGCCCATTTCACTGCTCAACCACCGGACGATCAAAACAAAATCAAAGATGACCCCCCCCCCCCCCCCCTCCTCAAATGGGAATTGGAGCACATGTAAAAGCCATTATGAACTGGTGAGATGTCGCGGAGTAGATAATAGATCTAATTTTAGTAATTGAATCACACTCCGCTGTAACTTCCAACGATACTGGATGAATCTCCATTTTCATCTATGAATATAAAACATTGGACATAGTAACATAATCCTACATTAGCAAGTCCATATCAATAGGTTGAATGACTGAAATATTGAGTGATTCTATTCAGCAGATGTTAAAGTGTTTTGTTCACAATATAGCTATAACATGCCTGTTAATGTAACAAAGTAAATCAAAAGACGAGGGGTGACAACATTTTCAAAATAGAAGATTAACACTGTTAACGTGATTAATTAAACTGTTCTGTACTGTTAGGTCTAGCATGTCGAAAGTGTAAATCTACCATTTTGATTATGTTGTCGCTCATTGGCCCTTCTAAATTGTGATTAAATAATTTGTAGAGATTTATTTAACATAATTCTACAAATGCTTACACGACAAAAAAAACAAACAACAATTATTCAGGAAACATAAATAGTAAATTCCTATTACCATAACCATGAAAAATAATAAACATGTAGTATAAGTTAAATTATAATGATTCTCTGTTGTCTCTGTCTCTCTCTCTCTTTCCACCATCCCAATCTGTCTCTGTCTTAGTATATGTTCTCTCTCTGTCTCTTAACCAGCTTCTAATTTAATTTATGTTTGGTTCTTCCCTTCAATTGATTCTAATTACAACTACACCCGCGACTACAAGTGTTGCGCTTTTGAAATCCAAGTATAGCTGAACTGTTTCCTTTGGTCTCTCTACCTTCTCGTCATTTGTAATATAGATCTCAGCTCTTCTTGGATTCGCCTGGTTATTTGGGTTCTTAGCTATGGTCATCGATGTCCCCTTCATGGACTATCTCTTCGTCATCGTCATCAGTCTCCAAGGCGTCTTCATTTTTATTTCATTTGGTGCCAACAAACGAGTGAAGAAACTCTGGCGAACATCCATGGATAACTCAACGCTGTGGACGACTCTTTCTCGGAGAGAGTATTCAAGAGGTCGAAGTAGCACCGGAACACAGGATGGACATAAACCTTAGAAATTATAGAAAGAAAGCAATTATCTCTACGAGCAGATTGTAGGTTGACATCCTTGCTTGTGTTCAAGCGATTTCTATGTTTTCTGCCAAATTTCATTGCCTACATAGATACGTTCCCATTATATATGTATATTCGTTCCGAAAAATGTATACATGTAATTATAAAACATGTAGAGTGGTGTTTTTGTCTAAAATGTAAAAAATTAAGAAGTCATAGTGTACTCTGTTTCTGTGGTCTGAAAGTAACATGGCTGATAATGGTATTGTAATGTAAAATCAAGGTCTTTATCTTTGTTGGTTTTCCTGACGAGTTTGGACAATGACCTCGGCGCCACAGCATGTTACCCTTTCAACCTTTGTAAAAAAAAATACACAAAACAAAACAAAAACATTTATTATAATTATATAAAATAGAATAATATGGCTTGTAGGAATACGCTTCTTTTAAATGTAATATGATGTTACAGGATGATTGATCTCTTGAAGTAGCATTAGCAGTTTAAGCAATTTTTAAACGAACACTTCCTCAAATCTAGCGCATGCCTATTTCATTTGTCTCACATGCTCTGTATTGTTTAACCGTCGTTGATACTTCAGACTTCAGAAACAACGTTGTCACTATATTTTATTCTCGTATGATGTGTAAATATTTCAACAGTCATAATTTTGACAAAAACATCTTGAAAAGATATTTGATCGATAATGTAAAAATATCCAAGTATACGGCCTGAGCCCTGAGAAAATCTTTTTGAATATGTGAGGTCAGTCGATGTCTTTGAGGGGACGTTACCTTGGGGGAAATAGGCTTTTGATTGTAGTCGATGAGACTGACCCCATACTTTGAAAATAGATTTTCGAATTTAAAAAAATGTGAACATTTTGTTATACTTCTCATCAAAGACTGACAAAAATCCTAAATATTTGATATAGATCTAACATTAAACATTAGAGGAATTTTCGAATCTCAAATTTGTATTTAATGAATTTATTGTTCCATTGTTATCACTTATTTTAGGGAGAGGTTCCTGAAAGTTACTCCAAGCAAATTCAGCAATGTTTAATTCTATAAATTATACAAACTTTATCATTATTCGAGATATGTTATAGTCATTCAAATGCGTCAAATGTTTTTCTTTTGACATTAGGCAGGCCTCCATAGGCAACCGCTACATACAGAACATTCTATGCTAAATGGGAATTTCCCGCTTATTCGTAAATAAAGAAAGTACTTGCCTCTTACAGAGTATTTATACATGCATGTATCAATGTATGATTTCATGTGCTATTGTAATATTATGTTTTTTGTATATAGGCTTTTTGCCATGGGATTAGAAATTGACTCAAAATGAATTTTTACGAGTGGTATATACATGAGCACCTGATAATGAGTTCTTGCAAATTTCTATAACAGATACTCTTCTCGTGTTTCGTGAATACTGTGTGTTGGGTCATTCTTTAAAGGACAATCAAACCCGTGTAATAAGTTAAATTGCATGTTATCAGAAAACTAAGGGAAACAGAATGGCGAATGGAAAAACAAATCAGACCAATAATGATAAAATTATGAAGGTTTGAATATAATATATCACTAAAGTGTATTCGAGTCTCAAATTGGCAGTTTGGGCAGTGGAAGTGACGTAGTCGCGAATAACTCTTCCGCTTTTCGCTTACAAAAATATCATTAATGTCTGTTTTCTTATTAAGTGCCTTCTCCCTTGGGGCATTAGCTACTCAATATTATATATAGGCTATTACGGATAGCATTTTTTCTTCTTCATGATTTAACTGAAAAAAGAATTCCTCTATATTAGTTCATCCACACAAAAATATATTACTATCATTGTGGTGTGAGGAAATAAGATTTTTAGGGAGAAAAATGGAAATGTATGTAGTCAATATAAGGAAACAATGACGTCACAGACTCATGAGTAAGTTGCCAATTTGTCTTGTGATTTTCTAAGTTTTTCATGTCATTAAAAATTCAAAACGTTCTTATTAGTTATCTGATTTTGCTCAAACTTTTTTTAATTGGTTTACCTGATATTTCTGCTTCTATCGAAATAAAGTTATTTTTGGAGTGGACTTGCCCTTTGATACTGATGAAGCCGAACAACTGCCAACCATTCGCAAATTTGTCCATGAGTGGTAACACAATTATAGTAATAGTTTTGCAAATTGTTCTGGTTATCTTAAGTGGGCAGGCGGTGGTACACCTAGTGTGACTATAAGGCATTTAATCGCCTGATTGCCATCATTTGTTATACCATTATTTTGTCAGTCGTTTCTCATCTATCGA